TTTCCTTAGCAACAAGAGGGTACCGGGAGCCTTTTGTATGAAACCCACAGTTGGGGGTCGTGATGAGCGTTGCTCAGTGTCCCATTGAGTGCACTCCCTCAAGCCAGAGTAATGTGATGACCGCCAGTATTCATATTACTCCCTGGATACTCTCAGATTAAAAGCAGAAATGACCCTCAAAACCTTCTGCTGTCCTGCTGCAGTTTGAGTTGGACATCGAGCCCCGCCTGAAGCCATCTCTGGTTGGTGCAGGAGGAGGAGGAGCTTCAGGAGGAGGAGGAGCCAACGACAGCCAGGACGTCTCGTTTAGCCAGACCACTAAAGGTATGCAGCCGCTGCAGGACTCAGTGTCTGAGCTGGAGATGATGACCCGAGCAGGTAAACCGTTCTCCACCCCACCCCTGCCACCTCACCTCCTTTAACTCCGCCTCCTTATTCAGTCCAGAAACACCTGCTGAGCTGTTTAATGTTTCACAATTTAAGATTGTATGTATTTATTTTTGTGTATTTCTGATGTGGTTGTTTACTTTGTTGTTCATTGTCGCAGTGTGGCCTCAGGAGGAGTACATCGTGGAGTACTCGCTGGAGTATGGCTTCCTGCGCCTCTCTCAGAGCACCAGACAGAGACTCAACATCCCTGTCATGGTCGTCACACTTGGTCAGACTCTGAGCCGCCGTGTCACATGACCTCAGCGTTGGCCAACTTGCACTCCCTAACCGCGTCTGTGTCTGTTCGCAGATCCGATGAAGGACGAGTGTTTCGGAGATGGCTTCAGTCGTTTCCTGCTCGATGAGTTTTTGGGCTACGATGACATCCTGATGTCGAGCGTGAAGGCGCTCGCCGAGAATGAGGAGAACAAAGGTGGGGTGGGCGCTGTAAATGGAGGGTGGGGCAGTGCACTTTGGTGTGACGCTACATTCACTGATTGGCTTCAGAGAGCAGGTGTTTATTTCCAGTCATGTGACACAGCTCAGGTGTTTGTGTGGTTCTCTGCAGGATTCCTGAGGAACGTGGTCTCCGGTGAGCATTACCGCTTTGTCAGCATGTGGATGGCCAGGACCTCCTACCTGGCCGCCTTTGTCATTATGGTCATATTTGTAAGTACAAATACAGTAAATGACCCACACTGATCGTTCGGGTTCGTTCAGTCGCACGATGTCACGACTGAGTCTCGCGTTCTCCGTTTCAGACTCTGTCGGTGTCCATGCTGCTCAGATACTCTCACCACCAGATCTTCGTCTTCATTGGTCAGTTCCTCATACCATTCAGTGTTGGCCTTTGAACCCGAGCCTCAGGTCTATTCTGACTCTCTCTCACCCCCTACAGTTGACCTCCTGCAGATGTTGGAGATGAACATGACCATTGCCTTCCCAGCAGCCCCTCTGCTCACTGTCATCCTGGCCCTCGTAGGTGAGTCCAGATCCCATTCTGTTTGAGGACGCTTCTGAACCTCTGTCACCTGGGTCCTGACGCGTGGCCGAGTTCTTTCCGTTATCTGGCTTCCCTTACCCTAACACGGGCAGTCAGGATAAGCGGCTGCGTGGGGCCTGTTATCAACCCAGGCCCACGTGCCCCTTCACATCAAAGGGTGGCAGCATCTGACAAATCATAGAGGGGTATTTCATAGCTCATATGACTCCTCTACCAAAGAAAAGTGTTCCCCCTGCTCCAGAGATGTTATCAAAGGGTTATAAAAATCTTTAAAGATTATAAAAATATATCAGTAAAATGCAACACTGTTGTGAAAATGATGTGATAAATTCCTCAGAAACATCTTAGGTTAATCTGGACACAAGCATTTTAATTCCAGTCAGTAGTTTTATGGCTGAGTAAATACTTTTTAGTTTACTTTTCACAGAATGCTCTGTCATATCAGGGAGTGAGCTTCTGGAATAGTCTTCCACTGTCAGTGAGGGAAAGTACAAGTCTACCCATCTTTAAGAGTCA